CCCCCAAAAGATAATGTTGAAAGTACCCAAGTATTAATGTTTACACTACTAAGGTGTCAGCAGCAGAAACATCAACATTAAAACAATTGATTAATGGACAGTCTGTATTAGTTACAGTTCTGAGTGTAGTTTGTAATAGTTACCCTTGTGAGTTCAGCCTGTAGTAGTTACCCTTGTGAGTTCAGTCTGCAATAGTTACCCTTGTGAGTTCAGTCTGCAATAGTTACCCTTGTGAGTTCAGTCTGTAAAAGTTAGCTTTGTGAGTTCAGCCTGTAGTAGTTACCCTTGTGAGTTCGGTCTGTAATACTTACCCTTGTGTGGGCAGTCTATAATAGTTACCCTTGCGAGTACAGTTTGCAATAGTTACCCTTGGTGAATGCGGTCTAATAGTAATCCTTATGAGTGCAGTTTATAATAGTTACCCTTGTGAGTGCTTTTAATTAACACAAATATGCAGTACAGATCCTTGACTCATAATGTCTGTTTTTTCAGAGTAAATTGCACAAATGTTCTTCTCTCTGAGTATATATATTGAGAGGTGTGTGGGTATGTCTTGTGTATATACACTGAGGTGTGTGTGTGTGTGTGTGTGTGTGTGTTTTCGTTGTGCGGCAGTAAATACCAACACTGAGCGCCCCACCCTGGCTCAGTCTGGGGTCTCAAGGGAGGGCCGGTGTCCTACCCTTGCCCTCCAGGGTCACTCCTTCAGGAGAGGGCGAAACCCGCAAGGGTCTCTAAGCCGGACACTAGGGTTCTGGAATGCCATCTGTAATGTGAACACTGGGAGACGGCTAGGCGCTAGGAATGACACAGGGTGCTTAGGATGATACTGTTCTCATATCAGTATCCGCTTCTCTCGTAGCTGTATCCGCTGCTCCGATACAGGATCAGTACAGACGAGACTGGATTCTGGATCAGCTAATACCGTGGACACTGTAATGAAAACTGGAACCAGTGGCCTGAACGGACTGTGTAAGGTCAGAGGTCTCCTAGGTCTAATGACTCCTGCAGCCTGGTCCCAGACCAGGCTTAACCCATCCGAGAGAAAATAGGGAATTACAGCCGTGAAGGAAGACGCAGTAATCCTGGTAGAGTGACGCACGTTGAACGTGAAGAATGTGGTAGGATATTCCTGATCATCCCACATTCCAGTCATGATCCCTATCCAGCCATGATCCCTATCTAGCCATGATCCCTATCC